CGTATCTAGCGCTGATGCACAAGAGATACATCAAACTCAAAACTCGATTTAGTTTCATTGTTTTATAGAAAAAGATGCTCACGAAAGAATATTTTACTATAGCGAAGTCCGTTGCTTGCATACGCGCTAGAAACACCGCCGATCTGCATATAGCGCAAACGTTTGTTCCGTGAAAGAATGTCACCTCTATGTTCTCCTAGTTAGTAAAAAAAGAAAGAAAAGTCTACAAGAAAATAGAAAAACCGACCAGGCGCAACGAGCGAGCGAGCGAGCGAACGGACCAAAGAAGCGACCCAGAGCAATGATGGCAAAGCGGGAAAGCCGGCGGTCGCGTTGGCAAATACTTTGGCGTCGGGCCAAGTCGGGCGCCTTGTCGATTGCAAGCTCTTGCGCAACTTTCTTGTTTGGTGCGTACATACGTGCGTCCGTGCACGGCGGGCTATCAATGCACGGTTGGGACGCTCTGCAAACGTCTGTGTAGGGCGTTCCAGCAAAGCTTTATTTACGCGTTGGCTTTGCCTAAAATATTGCACAACCGCGGTCGCGACGGGCGGGAAGAAGGAGCGGGTTCGCGGTGACCTTACTTCGGCGGAGACAGACTTTGACCTAACACTCCGCGGTTACATTAACAAACTCTCATTTTGCTATCTCCATTGTTTTCTTTTCGCACGGATACACGACCACTTTGGGGTCACTCACGGAGGAAATTCGTAAACAAAAAGAAGTGTCTTTCCCTCCTTCGTTTTACTTTGTCACGGACGACCTCCAACTGTAAGGTCCGCGGCCGCGTCATTCGGGTAGGATGAGTGTTCGCGGATCGCAGAGTCCGCGCTGGGGTATTTGAAGGGGTGGGCGATGACTCGGTGTTTTTTCGGAAATCGATATCGGCCCCAAAAATGGGGTGGGCGATGGCTCGGGGATGGGCGATGACTCGGGATATTACGGTAGCTAGTTTTAAAGCTTTATTCGATTTTTCTTTAAAGTTCCGAATTGATTGCAGTGGGACGTATATTTTAGTTTTTGTTTCTTTTGCGTATCGATTTTGTTGCAATGTGACGTTACATAGCTGACAAACTAAGTGCAAGGTAGAAATCGAGCTTACCACTCCGATTTTCTCAGAAAACGCACTTATTTTTGCTCATATTCAGTTTTATATCAATCTTCCTTGCTCAATGATTCTTTGATTTAAATACAAAGCAAATGCACATAGAAAGTATCAATCAATAGACAAACGATAAACAATTTTCGGAATTATTTTTGCTGGAATGGTAAACATCATAGTAAAACTGGTCCAAAATAAATCACGCTTTATAAATCGTATTGATTTTTATTCTCCACCCTGTCAGGTGGTCTTGTTTATGGAATTATTGCTGTCCATTTCAAGGCTGTCTGCAGGTCTCTTCGTGCAGCAATGGGATGGAGGTTTCTCCACACCCCAAACATCAGGGAGTGATATGTGCACACTGAGCGATGGGCCCTTCGGCTGGGAGAGCAGATGTGGTCCCGGATCACCAAATTCCTCTCGTGGACTGTCCTGCAAGTCAGCAGAGATGTGAGCAAGGCCTCGTAAGAAGATTTGTCGGCAGGTTGTCAAACAAATGGCGCAATGTGCACATGAATTACATTTCTGGGGGACTGTCATAAACAGGGGGGGGGAAGTATAACATTAGGTGCTGATCTATAACTGTGACCAATGAATGTTGACCTATAAGAGAGCAAAATACTTGAGCCAATCAAGCTAGCCCACTTGTTCCCCCACATCAGCAACTGCTCCAAGCATACTGTTTGGTGGGAACAGCGCAAAAAAGACTGTTATAGCTTATGCAAGCAGAGTCATAACGGCAACATGCTTCTTTAATGGAGACTGGCTGGTTGCCGATGATCGAACCACAGGAGCACGAGCTCAGCTCGCACACCTCAGAGTTCACACGCCGGTCACGCCTGCCGGTCATGCAACAACGGCACTGTTGTATTATGCAACAATGATCACCATATTACAAAGACGTAGGACCAGAACGATGAAACACACAGACAGGGCGCTGTCTCTGTGTTTCTTCGTCCTGGTCCTATGTCTTTTTTGCGCTGTTCCCACCAAACAGTATGTACCACCAACTACATGCCTTCGAAATAGTACAGCTTGACGTGCATGCCGGCAGAATGCGGAAAAATTAAGGTGCGCATGGTGCATGGTTTTACAGTAGAACGGTTTTATAATGAATGCCCCTACAACGAAAATGTCTAACAAAATAGAACAAGGCTCCGGGTCATTTCCTAAGTGTTCAATGTGTTTTTATGACCGCAACAAAATTTCTGTTTAACAAATTACCCTGTTTACAGATAGAATACATGGCCCCGCGTGGCAAACGTGACCGCCCTAACGAATTTCCTGGGTGCAAAGTAGCCAATTACACATAAATCCTCGCCTTCAAGTGACATGCGGGGCAAGGCATGAAGAATTTATGTGGCGGAGGTGGCATTGCCACTGCCGTTGCCACGAGCCGCCAATGCATTATGTGCCCTATCTATGCTTTGAGTGGAGGTAATTTGTTAGTGTGCATCCATGCTTTCAGGTAGTGCAACATTGCTGCTCAGATTTTTCTTTCTTTTGTCTTTTGCGCAACTTTTGCGTGGAGGCATTCTTTTCTTACTTGTATTTCATCTGCGCTTCATTTGCTTTGTTGTGACATTATTAGGTACAACAACGTTAGTTTTGTTTTCTCGTGCACTTCCGATTGATTCTAGATGATCACAGCACAAACGGCATACCTGGGTAAATTACCTCCAACATGTAGTTTAATTACAATCACAGTTACTTCGCTTCAAAAGTAGTTTAGCTACAATTACAATTACTACTATGTGAAAAGTAATTGATTACAATCATATATTACATTTTAAAAGTAATGCAATTACTATACAATAACTTATTTCTGTGAGCGATCCGACTTGGCCCATATACGGTAACTTTAAACGAGTTGTATAAAATGCAATGTATTTGTTCATTTCTTACCCCAATGTTTGAGGAGGCTTAAGCATCGCTGCATAGATGTCACGTATTATACTTTGCTTTTATGAATTTTCTTAAATTCATGATAGAACTTGACAGTTTGGTGCAATGAAGTACTACATTCTTATATTTTTAATAAATAATAACTTGGTTCATATGCTGGAAGATGCCAGACCGCTAAACAAAAAATTGGGTTGACAGGCGCTTGTTAGCCAGGCAAATAAAATGCAACAATGAATCATATATGACTATTTTACAAGCGTTAACATAAAACTAAAATCCACACACACTAATATGACCGCATTCACATACAAACACGACAGTATTGTCAATTATTTACATTGAGTTGAAATTATAATGGTTCAGAAACATTTAAAAACCGAATCAAGGCTCCCGAATCATTGGTGACAATATTCACAGGTGCAAGGTCAGTCTTTAAAATGCTTATGCAAATAGTATCCGAAGTAAAACCAACAGGAAATAAACTTGAAAATAATACAAAGCTACAAATATGCGACAGTACTGGAAGGGGGACGTAAAAAACTTGCAAAAAAAGAAAGAAAAATAACTTCATAGACAATTAAAATTCCCAACCTCGGCTGAAAGCCGAAGCTCGATTTTTTTTCTTCCGATATTTTGGCATGTTTACGCTACTGTTTTCTGCTCGCACCCCAGACGGCGCTACATGGCGCCGTTGAGGTAGGCTCCAAATAGGATTGTCTCTCAGATCACAGTGTAAGCAATGTGACGCTATTTATGTTGTGCGTGTCTGCGAGAGTGTTTCACCGAGAGCTAAGCTAGGCCGCTTGTGCGAGCGCTGAGGCTTTCAGAAAGGTTTTGTCGGCGCCACAAAGTTTTGCAAAAATGATTGTAATTGTGCCTAAAATTTCACAATTACTGATGCTAGAAAGTAATTAAATTACAATTACAATTCATTTTACCTGAAAGTAATTATTACAATTACAAATCACCGAGAAAAGTAATTAAATTACAGCAATTTAATTATACTATAATTCAATTACTACTCAAGTATGACAAGCAGCATGAGCAAGGAGGGAGATACGGGGCCTGTTCATGCATGTACCACAGCACTCCCTTAAGTGCTGTTAGTCAGCACTGGAGGCAGCACTGTTTATAGTGTTCACTTAACACTGCAATGTATGTGTGCAAAGGTACCTGAACCAACTCTGTCAACAACTGAGGATATGAATGGTTCAAATGCTGCGATTGTGTAAGTCCTTTTTCGATGACTTCTTACTGAAATGTATTATGCCTCTTGAGTACGTCGAAACAGTTCATATTAAAACCAAACTAATTTGATAAAAAAAGAAAGGAATAACCTAGAGGGAGAAACTAAAAGAGTTCTGCGAGGGGAGCCAAGCTTCCAAACGTCGCACAAATGCATGCACGTGCAGGGGACAGGAATATGATTGAGCTGTTGCAAAGGCTTCAACCATTTCCAAACATACCACAAAATACTGGGCAAGTGCCCACTCAAAATATGGAGATACTTGCAAAAAAAATGGGGGATGGGTACTTGTCTGGTCATTAATTTTACATATACATGTACTGTGCATATTTTCTCAGATCTTACGAATTTGGGAATGGGCACATAGTGTGGAATGGGCGGATGCACAGTATTATATGGTAGTTCGAGGTTGTGCTTGCCCTGGCGAGAAGTGTGGTGTAGGGGGAGCAAAAAGTGGAAAAAAAGAGAGAGAGCGGAAAAAAAAGAGGACGACCAAGGCTGTCGAATGCTGGCCCGCCGTACCGACATGCCGTGACCATGTCAAATGGCAGTTTTTGGATGCAACGACTGGGAAGGGAAATGTGACCAGCAAGAAATCAATATGCATATCCGTACAGGAGTTTGGTGGGACCAGCGTAACTTAATGCAACAGCCGGTAAAACGCTCCAACACATGATGCACCGATGAGGTTCTACCGTAGACGATGTGCACATAGTCTCGAGAGAAAGTTCGACAGCAACCACTCACCATTCGATCGCACGGAGCGTAGGAATACTTGGCTTTCCGGCGGCGTGCACCAGCGGCCAGTATGACGACAGCCTGCCAACGGCGTACACCACGGCCATTTTTGTTTCGTCCAAAGCCTGCAAAAGATGCAACGTGACGTTCATGCATTCCCTTCGGCATGCATTCGACGTACCACAAACTCCTCTTTGCTTTTCTGGCAGCATGAGTTGGGATGTTACGGAGTCTGCTGAGGGTCTTTCTTCGCTTTCAACGCCCTCAGCCTTCTCATTTTCCTCGTGCACGCCAGCCTTCTGATGAAGGGACCCTGTAATTGGGGAAGGACGGATCAAGCACAGATAATCTCGGAATGGACTACTGGGATGGCAAGGCAGCTAAAATGGATTGTTTCTACACAACTTGCACTCATCTTCCCCTAGAGGGACATTCTGCCAACTTTTCTAGCCACCCGAGAGAACTATGTTTTCTGAATGCCCGGGCCTTACCCTTTTTAGAATGCTGTTTAGTACCTCTGAATACCAAAGTTATTAAGAAAATGGCAAATGAGGGTGATGCCAAAACCCACACTTGAATTTCTCTGCGTTTTCCGGTGCCGTGGCTTCCCTGGCAGACGGCCTGTCAGCTCGAACAGAGCCGTTTGCAGACAAATGAAGGGCGTTCAATGCATATGGGCTCAAAAGACTGCCTGCAATGAATCTAATACAAACAAGTACCATATTTGTCGGTGTATAAGTTGAAGTTTCTTTTCTCGAATTTCCGTCGGTGCAACTTACTAAAATACCGGGGAAGCGACAACCCCACTTTCACTAAAAACTAGGTTAGTCTAGACGTGGGCGCTTGTCCACTCTAATCAGTAAAAAACCAAGATGGCGGCCAATAAAGAGCTTTGAAGGCAGGGTGAATGGAATCAGAGAAAGCACATTTATTTTCATCCGATATCCACGTTTTTACAGCTGGTGGTCTCGTGGTCGCTGCAACGGGGTGAATATTTTTGGCTGATGCTGGCGCTTTGGAGGGGGTGGATGCTTAAAGTATAATATGCAGAATTCCAAGCTTGGGAGGTGTTAATAGGGGGCGCTTATACGAAGTGTGTGCTTCCGCGGTATATTACGTGTGTGTGTTCTTTTTATTGGTATGAAAGCATGATGTAGGCAATAACATTATTTACAACGAAAGAGAAACGGCAGAGCACCCGCCAATGGTCTTCACTTTCAACAGTCTGAAGACAAAAAGTGGCGACAAATGACCGGCTGGAGTGGCTCAGCCAACCGTACAAAGAGGTACAAGTTATACAAGATGCGACTTACATATACCAAAGTTTTTGTGAAAACGTCTGTTTATAGGGAGATGTGACTTGCACAACAAAATTCCTTAAAACAATATTAAATAAAAAAAAATAAGTTAGACAAACATATTTTTGTTTGTAGATGTTTCCACAAAAAAACAATTTTTTGGGCAATAAATATGTTGTCAGACAACATTTTAGGTAGGGGTAGCCCACTGATCTCAATGACAATTGCTGGATCGCGCTTCCCCGCTTGTTCACTGCAGCGCGAGTAAAGCCACCGGACGGCAACCTTGCTGGGATACGATTTGCGGTTTCGCTAGCCTTTTGCTGCGGTTTTCCAGCGCGCTGTAGACACGTTTTCTACTCGTTCGTCGTCATTCGCTGAAGAAGTTATTTAAGGCTCAGTGCACCGTCGAGACTTGCCACTGTGAACATGTAGAGAATTTTACGAAAGGGCAGGACCGCAGGAAAAAGGCACAACTCGTCGAAAGCAAGTTTCGCCAGTCTGGCGGCGGGATCAAAGCTTCCTTGGCATGCCGAAGTGCTGTGTCTCTGTGCCTTCGCACACTTGGATACCGATCAAGAATTGACGCCGTGTGGATGTGTTTTGCGAGTGCAATCTGCTTGAAGTCGTATGTAAAGGCACAACTCGTCGAAAGCAAGTGTCGCCGGTCTCGCGGCGTGAATAAAGCTCCCTTGGCACGGTGAAGCTTTGCGTCTCTGTGCCTTCGCACGCTTGGATACCTATCAAGAATCGACTCTGCGGCAAAGTTTTGAAGGTGTGTTGCGCGTAGATGTCTTTGAATCACATATCGGCCACGAAGTTCTGGATCGTCCAGCTGTTCCGGCTTGTGCGTCTGTTGACCAATCACAATTAGGCGAGCCGTGCTCAAACTTGATGTCACGCGGAATTGATGATAATGAGCCAGACCACTGATCAGTCATGAGGAGCTGTTGTGCAGTGTTCTGTAAACTGTCTAACAACGAAAAAAAGACGTACCATCGGTAAGTATCACATATAGGTTTGGGAAGAATGTCTCACTGGAGTGCGAACTGTAACAATAATACTTGTTTTGGTTCAAGATTTCCACAAAGTCAACCAGAAATTCGTAAAGAATGGGTGCGCAACATCCGAAGGCAAAATTGGTAGCCACCTAAAGAAGGGTGTTTGCTCGGACAACTTTGAAGAGGCGTGCTTCAAGAGAACAGGTCAAAGTGCACGCTTAAGAGAAGATGCCATCCCAACTCTCTTCAAGTTACCTAAACACCTTCTCAAGGTAATAGGCTGGTCCTTACTTTTTTCAAGCGCAATCTATACATTCTATTCTGAAGATTTCCAGCTGAACGTAGAAGGAAAAACCAAGGTGTGGTTTTTCCTTTTTTTTCTACTTTTTTCCCGGTCTATTTCATACATTTACCAAGCATTAACAATGCTTGAGCTGTTTTTGCTTAGTTTCTACACATTCTAAATAAAATATTTGGTATTGAATACTTGATTATAGGCAACCTAGTTTTTGGTGACTATTAGGCACTATTCGATTCGAGCTGAAATTTTATATTTTGCACACCCTTGTTTAGTAATCAGATATTATGTCTTTCTGAACCCTGGTTACTTGACTGAAGATATAGAGGGCAGGCAAGCTGGTTAAGTAATGACAAAATTGTGAACCCTGAATTTTCGCTATTGCTCCCATCTCATTGCTAACAATTACATATTTACTTAAACTGCATATGATTCACAAATTACATGTTCAAAGCATCTTAAGCTCCCAGTAAGGCTTGATTGGTTGTGAGACATGAAAGACTCGCCCACCATTCACTATCCAAATTGAAGACAAAATTCTCAAAACCGATAGGCAGGCAGACAATATGTGTTTTTGTAGATGTTACGTTGCTGGCCTCAACCTGTAACTTTGCCAGAAACAGTAAAGAAACTTAGACTTTGTTTTCTTCCTCAGTGTAGGACCACATGTGTGTCTAAGTTCATTTTTGGCATTCTCTCAGCGACCCAAGACAAGAAGGCCTCCAAGAGACCGTGGCAACAGCGCTAGCACTACTAATCCTACAAGTGACACCCTTGATGCACAACCATCCACGTAAGCAACACAGGACCACACATACACCGTACAAATCCCTCAGACCCAGAAATGTAAGATGAACAATGTGGTGGGCCACATAGAAGCACTAAGAAGTTGAAATACACACAGCAGGCTACAAGGCGGCTAAAAGGAAAGGTTTCTAACATGAAAGATATCCTCAAGGACCTCAAGCAAAAGCAACTTATTAGCAGTGATGCTGCCTCCGTTCTTAGTAAGTCACTTTCTGGCACGTCGCTGAAAGTCTGTTTTTGAGCACTGAAAAACATGAAAGGAAACGTAACGAAAGAGCAATACCCACCAGAGTTAAGGGCTTTTGCTCTTACACTTCAGTTCTATTCGACTAAAGCTTATGAATACGTAAGAAGCACATTAAACCTAGCACTGTGTCGTCACTGTGGGCACGGTACCGCTCGATTGATGGTGAGCCTGGGTTCACCTCTGAGGCGTTTCACTCCCTGCGACTCACTCTTGAAGAAAATGCAAAGCAGGGGAAAAAAATCCTCTGTGCCTTGCTCATGGGCAAGATGAGCATTCGAAAGCACACCGAATGGGATGGGAAGAAGTTCAGAGGACTTATCGATCTTGGAACTGCAGTGGACAATGACAGTCGACTGCTTGCCACCAAAGCCCTAGTCTTCATGCTCGCAGCTCTCAACGACCACTGGAAGCTACCCTGTGAGTACTTCTTGATCCATGACATAAGTGGTGCAGAGAAGGCCAACTTGGTGAACATGTGTCTAATGAAGGTACACGACGTTGGTGTTGTTGTCTGTTCCATAACATGCGACAGGCTCCAATCAAACTGGACCATGATTGAAGCACTTGGGGTTGACCTCACTGTCTCCCCTCAAGGAATGAAGCCCTGGTTCCCACATCCTGCTAACTCTAACCAGAGAGTTTTCATTCTATTTGACATTTGCCACATGCTCAAGTTACTGCCGCAATGCTCTCTCGTCTCTGCAGGTGATCAAGGATCCCGATGGACATTCCGTCAGGTGGCTCTACATTCAGGAGCTAAACAAGCTTCAAGAAAAAGAAGGTCTCAGGACAGGCAACAAACTGCAACTGGCACATGTGAAGCGGAGGCGTCAAAAGATGAAGGTGAACCCAGCAGCTCAAGCAATCAGCTCAAGCGTCGCCGATGCTTTGGAATTTTGCAACATTGACCTCAAGGACAGGACCTTTGCCGACAGCGAGGCCACAGTGAAGCTCATCAGGATCTTCGACAAGCTGTTCGACATGATGAACTCAAGGAACCCTGTTGTCAAGAACTTCAAAGCACCCTTGAGAATGAGCACACATTGCCTATGGAAGCCCTTCTTTGAAGAAGCAGCCAGCTACATTCTCGGCTTAAAGGACGTCACTGGCCTGCCACCCTACCTAACCAGAAGGAAGACTGCTTTTCTAGGATTTCTAATGGCCATAAAGAGCTTTAAGCGCCTCTGCAAAGACCTGTTGGGCGGTCAAGAACCCCTCACGAGGTACCTGCTCACCTACAAGTGCAGCCAAGATCATCTTGAGCTTTTCTTTGGTGCCATCAGAAGCAGGGGCGGTTGGAATAACAATTCGACGGCTCTGCAGTTTATGGCAGCTTACAAAAGGCTCCTTGTGTGTCACAAGGTGCAACAGGCCAGGGAGAACTATTGGATGCAAGACCAGACCAGCATCCTGCACCTGACCAGGAGGGCCAACCACCAAGAAGACGTGGCCCACAATGCTCTATTGGATGACCATGCAGCAGCCCGCCGCTTTGGCATGATTGCCTCCCCCAGAGCAGAGGACCATGGCTATGTGGATGTTCCAAACACCACAACTCTGTCCCGGTACGTGGAGAATGTGGTAGATTACATCGCCGGTTATGTGGTGCGCATGCTGCAAAGGAAGATAACCTGCTCAGGCTGCATGGCAGCCTTGCAAGAG